GGGGGGTATAGCAGATGTGAAACGGAAAAAAACCACGGAAAGCCAACAACGGGAAAATTCTTTTCTCTCCCCCACATCCCAGAGGCAAGTGCGGCCGTCCCGCTCCCCGCGTGTTTCACATAGCGATGCTGTACCCTGCCCGTAAATTCGTGTGAAGCTATGCCATAGCAGGAGCTTCATTTACACTCGACGAGGGTCTGCAGGTCTTACCAAGGTTGGGCCTATAATAAGTTAACAGGAATTATACAGAGAACCTGGCGCACCAGGTGAATGCCCCCTGCAAGCCGATCAGTTGGACTTTTATTCCACTATTAACTTCTATTAACCCCTTCTCTTGAACGAACCCGTGTTGTCATGGTCTTCGTCGACATTTACTTGTTTGCCATAATTGCTGCGCTAATACGTCCCTATACCCTGCGGCAATAATTAAAAGTGTGCTTGTGCCAAGGAGCACGACACACGACGGGCCCTCCATCTGTCCATCAACTACTAAGTTCATTACCAGCAAATCAAGCCTCGCCCGAACCTGCAAATACCCACAAATTTTCGTTCGTTCGTCGTTACGTCGCGTTGTTTGTCGTTATTGTCGTACTTTTTCAGGCTGATTCTATGGAGATCCCTCTGATGTGGTGGTGCTGTCGCCTTGGGATGACGTACTGAAGTGCAAGGGATGCCGCCACCGGCTGTCGCCCACGACGCAAAGCGACCGCTTGTTCTGGCAGCTGTACTGCTCGGCATGATATTCATTCTCATCTACATACTAATCACTTTCCCACGTCCACTTATCCTTGCACCACACGGCTCTCAATCTGCTCCCAAAGCTGGGGAGGACGTAAGCATCAGCCAGTTGGACTCGTCCTCAACACGTGAATTGCCCACCAACGACGATCCGTTTCGGTTCGCTGACCAGCCCTTTCACCGACATCATATCCCAAACATCGTGCAGCCGTCTCTCTACCAAATCCAGCTGAAGGTTTACCTGCCGTGGCGTCCGTGAGTTTTATCTATGGTGTTCATTGCTAGGAAGGGCAGTTCGGCGACGGGCGGGGGCATTTTGCACTTTCGTTTCTTCCCAACGATCAGTCGACCCATCTAGGGAGCCATTTCGTGAGCTTACAAGAGTTGACAGGTTTTGACGTAGTGGCTCAACGAGCTTCCCCAGCTTCACAAGAGTTTACAGGAGTACACCGTAAACCGGAACTAGTGAATCAACTAACGTGCAAAATGGCCGCCCCCTCCCGTCGTCGCCGAGCTGCGCCCTGCGAGGATTTGAAAGCCTACTGGAGAGCGCTCGTATCTTTGCGTTCCGAGGGCTTTTAATAGGTTGATGCATATGTTTTTAACCCCGACTTTTTTGTATCTCAAAAGCGAACCAGCCTGAAGATTAGAGGTATGCACCATCACCATCCACTCACTACTCGACGCCAGCGCTCAGGCAGCTTGTCGATTTCATCTCCAGAACGGCGAGGGGCTGCGACTTGAAGACGTCGTTCGAGTGCGTCTTTCTGACCTGGATGACCTCCGACATCGAACTTTTTTTGCCGTCGCAGAGAGCGCTGGCAGTGGCTGGACGCCCCAAGTAGTCAAAGTAGCGAAGGCCAGGGCTGTAGACGAAGGGTGGGGGGGGAGGGGTGCGACAACCATCGCCATCCGTGGCTTCCTCCAGCTGCGGCCGTGGGTCGCGCTTATTGCGGTGAAGGTCGGCGTTGTCATGGTGGAGTCGGATTTTCGCCATCTGATTCCACTAGTACGCGGATAGGCGACGGTGATCTTTCAATTTCCGGCAGCTGGAACGGTATCAGTTCGGGAGCGTCACTCGAAGGTTTCTTCTCCAGCAGCTGCTCATACCGTGCTCCTCTGGACCACGCAAGAAGACAGGAGAACGCTTTGGGGGTCGCGGGGCCGGCGGCGGGGGGGGGCATGGTGGAGGCTCGGCATCTTGATGGCTTCTGCTGTTCTCCTTTGTCCGACCAGGCGAGCGCCGCTTCGCGCTCAGCCGCCTTATCGTAGAGGAGTCAGATTTCTCATGCTTGCCAATGATCATCGATTTAGAAAATAAGCTTACTTTGGGCTATATTATTTATGGCGAGGCACAGCCCTCAATTGCCAGAGGTAATTAAGCGGAGACGTTCATGGGGGACCCTCGACCAAATGCTTGGCTAACTTTCCGAGCTTTTCTAGTCACCGTACATTCGTGCGAGCGTGGATTCACTGCGGGAGTCGCGGGCCGAGCATGGTCGCCATTCCCAACTGGTGGTTGAGGTACGGGTCCTCCTCCACGGTGGAACGTAGTACTTCCAAATCCAACTCCATCGGCCGACCCGACCTCGGAGCATCTTCGAGAGAAAAGTCTCCTTTCTTGAATTTGGCGAACCCAATTCTTGCATGTCATGTAAGAGATGACGTCCTCACCGTATGTATCCACCAGCTTTGGTATGGGCTCACCCTTTGCATCCTATTCAGCCCGAATTCGTGAAGGCCAACACCAGCTAAGTCGTACGCACAAACGTTACGGCGCACTGTGACAGGTATACGGTTCTGTCTCCACAGTGGTCAATTCGCGACATTGGTGGCCTACAATGCAAGAGATGGAATGAGTGATAGCTAGTGATAAAAGAGTATAGGTGCCCACGTCACGCACACGTGATGACGATATACCAACATCCACGCAAACGAAATACGGAGGGGTCAAAATGGTCAGAAACATATGCATCAACCTCATAACTTTTGATTTCGTGAAGCTATTTGCATGGCCAGCACATAAGCTCACCATTCCATGCGAGGAGGAGAATCTTATCTATTCGCAACTAAGAAGGAGGGGGCGGCCTAGGCTCATAGGAAGCAAAACTACTGGTAAGCTTGCATTTTTTTCGTAGCATTCTGGGCAAGTTGCTTGCAAGCCTGCAGTCTTCGTTCGCAGTGCGTGATGCAGAGCACCTCACCTGCGGACTGGGGCGTCCATAAGGATTTGGGGAGTCGTATGTCTGGGAAGCAAAAATTTTTGAATAGTTTTTTTCATGGTTTTTCGTCGTTTCGAGGGCGAACCATTGGGGGCTGGGGTCGTACTCTGATCTGAAAAAGGAGTCGGCACTTCTGAAAAGGCCTGTTACTTTTATTGTCCTACTCGCAAATAGCTCGATGAGGAGGACAGGGGAATCGTAACACTGACCTCAAAAAACAAAAGGGGGGGATCCTACGGACTCGACCGAAATCCCAACTAATGATGTGCCCGGCGCGGCTGCTAGGTGAAGTCATGGTCTGAACTTTGGCGCGGCATCAGCGTACTTCTATCCTCTTTCATCGCATCCAGGCCACCTTCTGCCGTAGGCTCCACTTCACTGAGGGCTCTTTTTGATATCACCTCTCCATTTTTCCGTGAGGAGGTCGCTAACCCTGTATACGGTGATCTTCACGTTTCCTATGCGCGTACCCCTAACATAACAGTTGCTGCTCTAGTGCCTTCATCGAGCGAGACTGTCTGCATAGTTCTCTCCCCACGTAGTCGTTTCTGACCCTACTCAGTCGGATTCAGGCGCACTTATAGTCCAGTTCGCTGCGGACGAAGGGGCGTGTCAGACTGTCAGCCGGGATGATTTGGTGCGGTGCCAAACCATTTTCTTCTACCAGCTGTTGAAGCGAGCAAGTGACAAGACTGCATCATATCGTTCGTATCACTCGTTTTTTGACCATAATTGTCGCATACCCGCTTCAACAACTGGTAGAGAGGGTGTTCGGCGCCGTGACACACCAGTACTGCCTGGCACGCACCTTCGTACGCAAGAGTATATTTCAACTGGCTGGATTGTCTCTGATGGTTCATTCTGCTAGTTCCTGTTAAATTACACGCCTCATCTTGGTGAGACGTGTAGAATCTTGTCAAGTTTTAACGAAATTCCTGTTTTTGCATTGTTTTATAGGAAGTTACAGGTCTCCACAGGATGCAACGGCTATGACCCATGGGAACTAGCAAATTGTCCCCACCAAGCCGAATTGCGCCCAATTGTCGTTAGCAAAAAAGCATTAACGTCGTAAACGATCGTTAGTTATGAATCATCGTACGAGAAGTAAAGCTGGGAGATTGAGGTAAATTAAATATTTCGGAGATGGGTGGCTACGGCTTTTCACCCCGGAACGATTCCAGCAGTCAGTTATAATGGATTAGAGGATTAGTGCAATGGTTCAATTAACTCAGCGTGTTTTGCAACGGAAAGGCGATTTCAATTTTTTCAAAAAAGCTGTTTTGCAGGTTTGCCCAGCTAGCAAACCTGCAAAACAGCTTTTTTTCCGCCCTGAATGCGTAATGTGGCCACGTGCCCTTTTCAAGTGAAATGTGACAAATCAAGAGCCAAGTCTCAAACAGGGGCGGCTAATATGACTCCAGACCTTCGTTCAGTCACGAAGTCGTCCTGTTTAGTGGCATCACGTTCGGCTCATTGGATTTCACATTGGATGGTATGACCCGAATGACGTTCACCGTACTTCGTGCTGTGCGACGGATACAATTGAATGTGAAGCATATCAATATCACTTCAGTGAGAGTCTACCGGGACTCTGAAGAGATCAACATCGATGAGGTAGAATTTAGTTCTTGGACGGCAGTTTCTTGTCTTTTACCTGTTGAAAGTAATGCTCTGTTTGACTCGAGAGGGGCATACTGCACTTTTGCTAGCTCCTTCAAAATTACACGTTACACCTGGTGAAACCTGCTGTTCCTTGTCTAGTGGGGCGATGTTCCTGCTATTGTACAGTCTGTGAGGAATCAACAGATCTCCACAGGAGGCAACGGGAGAGAACTACGAGAGCCAGCGAAGTGCCCCCACCGAACCGAACCGCACGCTGAAGCCTATCGCTCTGGGCCCTACGACTGAATTTTGTTATGCAAAAGAGTTTTCCATGTTTCAAGGGTCAGCCTAGACGTGTCTAGCCCAGAGCGGATCACTGAAGAAGGGAAAAAGACGCGTTGAGGAGGCTAGAGTTCTGTTTTCATGGCCCTATCGCGGAATTTTCCGCCGCTGGGCCGACCGCTGCGTAACATCTCGTTCTCCCATATTCCGTTGGCTTCGCAGTGTCTCTGTGTCTCTCGAACTGCAGTTGATATCGTCGCAGATGGGCGGGGCAGTGTCAGATGTAGAATGAGCCCATCCGGGCCATTTTTATACTCTGTTTATTTTCCTCATGAACTGGCCACTACTGGCGGAATATGCATCCGCGTATGGGCTCACTCAGCGGTCCCCGACACCGTTGGATTGCGACGATACCAACTAGATGATACA